CAAAGAAAGCTACTCTAAAAAGCTGGTATTTGAAGGATGAGAATGAATAGGTAGATGATGAGGTGGAGATCAAAGAGGAGCATTCTTTTTTTCCTTTTAGATGTAATGGTTATCATAAAACCATTAAAATATATCTCTCTGAATTCTTGAGACTTTCACATCACCCTCAAATTCCTAAAATACTTTTACGACCTGTACTTTTATTTCAGTAGCAAAACTATTTTTTATATATACACGCATTTTAAAGATTTATTTATTTATTTATACAAACACTGGGTACAGTCAGAAGTGCAGGAGGGTGAGAGAATTCACCAGAGCCAGAGCAGGGAGCAGAGCAGGCAGAAGGACTGAAGTACACTGCTGAGGGGAGCAGCGGGCGGCAGGAGAGGTCTGCGCGCCATGTGGGACCCTCCTCTGGTGGCCGGGGAGCAGCCGGGGATCGAACCGGCACTGCAGAGGCTGCGGGCAACCCAGCACTCAACCGCTGCGCCACCGGGGAGGCCCTATTTTATATTTTTAAAACTCTCTCTCGTACACACACACACTCCAGAAGGATTAAGATTAAAATGCAACAACTTTTAAACATACCAGAAATACGTTTTTTGATCAAGATGATGTAGGGAAAAATCTTCATAAACAGAAGGCAAAGAACCCTGAAATCTTTATACATACCTATTATGTATAAAGAGCTTTTATGATTCACTAAGGAAGTACAGATAATTAAGTACAGACTTGGACAGCCTATTACGAGGCAATTTGGCATCTACTGAAAACTGAAATGCACATTTAAGAATCCTTTTTATGGAAATACTTGCATCTGCACAAAGATATAAGGAAGTTCATTAAGGCTCTGTTGAGTTGCTCATTTGCTCACAACATGCCCATAAGTAGTTAAATAAAGTACAACCATATAATGGAGTATCTCATGACTCTTAAAAAGATGAGCTATAGCTATACGCATTGATTGGAAAATATGCAATGATCAGATTTTTTTCCATTAAAAAAATCAGTGTTAAAAACTATACACACACATTGCTTGTTTCTAACAGCATAAGTAAAGCAAAATTGTTAACAGTGTGTACACCTCCAAGGCAAGGGCTAAAAAGCGAGGAAAGAACAATTTTCACTTTTTATTCTAAGTAATTGGCTTGCTTCAACCTTTTATAACAAGCATGTACTGCTTTTGGAATTTATCTTAAAATAAGGGGAAAACACTATTGCAGTCTGGTATGATGGTTATCTCTGAGGGTTGACACCAAAGTGATTTTGGTTCTGTTAATTTTCACTACTTTCCAAATACTTTGAGAAAAATGCATACCTTTTAAATCTAAGTGACTTATTTCCAAAAACCTACATTCTATTTCAGTGGTGAAACTATTTTAAATTCTCCCCCTCCTCCAAAATTTGAATGTAAGTTACAATCTAAGAAACTTGGTTCTGTGATTATAACCTCCTTCAGAAACTAATGTTAAATCTAAGTTCAGAGGTATCACATTTGCTGTAGAAACAATGAAATTAAAACCTATTTAGAATGGAATATTAACTAATGTTAATTAAGCACTTAGGTAATGCATGTTAAGTAGTCTACACCCATTATCTCATTCGATCTAAATAGCCTTCTGAAATTAGCATTATGCTGGTAGTAATTCCCATTTTACAGGTGAAAAAAATAAAATCTTAAAAATAATAACTATCTTGCCCAGGGTGAAGTGAACACCAGGATTCAAATCCAAGTCCCCACCTCCTAACCACTTGAGATACATGGAATAAGTATTAATGTACCTCAGAGGCAAAAGGTTGGAAGTCTAAAATCCTGAAGGAATGTTCAGGCTGACTACGCTTTAAAAAACCAAAAATTTATTTAAGTAACATTGCATTATAACATTACAGAAGTTTCAGGTGTGCATCATTATACAATAAATCAACATCTGTGTGTACTATATTAATTCACCACTAGAGATGGAAGACTCTTAAGTTAGTGATCTTGAAGTGAAGTAGTAGTGAAACCCAACTCTGATCAGAAGATAACAATCAATCTTATGTAAAAGCAATGAGGGTTATTTATTCCCTTCCATTTCTGCTTCCATCAAGGTGTAAGGAGGCTAACAGGAACAACTCAGAACTGTAACATAACACCTCCTTCTGTGTAGTCTGGAATTAGTTCTCTAACTAGAAGAGCTTCTGGAAACAAAATGATCAGAACCCTGAAAGCTTAAGGACTCGAAAATGGCTCCGTTTCAGGTTTTATCAAAAGTAGAAAATTAAGAATGTGAAAAGAATATTCTACTAGAATATTAGACTAATCAGTATGGACAAAGGTAGGAAGAATTTAACAGTCCCTACTTATTTCATCCTTAGTTGTCTAGACAAGTTCCTTTTTAAAAAAGTATGACTGAAAGTTTATCCTTAGCTACCCGAACAAGTTCTGTTTTTCTGTTTTCTCTTTAAAAAGGGATAACTGGGCCTCCCCGGTGGCGCAGCGGTTCAGCGCTGGGTTGCGAAGCTGCCCGCAGCCTCTGCAGCGCCGGTTCGATCCCCGGCTGCTCCCGGCCACCAGAGGAGGGTCCCACATGGCGCGCAGACCTCTCCTGCTGCCCGCTGCTCCCCTCAGCAGTGTACTTCAGTCCTTCTGCCTGCTCTGCTCCCTGCTCTGGCTCTGTTGAATTCTCTCACCCTCCCGCGCTTCTGACTGTACCCAGTGCTTGTATAAATAAATAAAAATAAATCTTTAAAAAAAAAAAAAGTTAAAAAAAAAAAAACTTTAAAAAAAAAAAAGGGGATAACTGAGCACCTCCCTGGTGGCACAATGAAGCTATCCACAGCCACTGCAGCACAAGTTCGATCCCCTGCTGGCCAGGGAGCATCCCACATAGCGAAGCACACCTCTCCTGACTCGCCCGCTGCTCCCCTCAGCAGTGTATTTCAATCCATCTGCCTGTTCTCCTTCTTCTCCCCACTTTGTCTCTGGTGAATCCTCTCACACACACATCCCAACACCTCTGGGCTGTACCCCAGTTCTTGTATGCATAAAAAAATCAATCTTTAAAAAAATAAAAAAGGGATAATTGAAAAGAAATATAAACTATTGTTAACCAAGTCTATAAGGAAACTTGACAATTATAAAGAAGAGAGAAACACAGAAACCTCTATTTAATTGTTCAGTAGATATATTCTAACTATAAACCTACTGCTGTTTTATGAATTTGGGTTTGTTAGTATTAAATGACACAAAGTGCAGAAGAGTAACTCTTTTTCTCAATAATGGTAAATCAGGAATCAAGGCCCCAAAGGAATGGACTATCTAGAAACTCTTCCTTAGTAAAACTATTTGCTTATAGAAAGAACTGGCAGAAAAATGACATCAAGAGAACAAGGTTTTCACACTACAACAGTCCTACACCATAGACCCTGAGGACAGTAAGACCTCCCATAAGTTAAAGAAAACTGATACCACCACATGATGACAGTAATTTTGAAGCTTGGTTCTAAAGTCATTTAGGTGAAAAGGAACCATTTAGTGAAAACATGAAATTCAATGAATTTAGTTGTATCTCTTCACCAAAATCGGGAAGTGAGTTCAAGATTTACATATATAATGGTCCAAAACATTTTGAACTTCATTTTTCATAAGGTGGATGTAAATCAATGTTCTTGACTAATTAACAGCTAGAAAGATTTAAAAGTCAAGGATGAAAGAGTTGCCTTAAATCAATAACTTTAATAGGAGAACTTGAACAAAGCTTTTCATTCATTTTTTTTCCACATACATATAAAATATATAGAAATGAGTATGAATGTGCTTTGCAAATGCCACAGAGCTTCAGGCAAAGTTGACAAGTTCTAACTTGCTTTAAAAATTACTAGTCATTGCCTTCATCTCAATCTAACTTTATTTAATGTTATTCTTTTGGATAACCCTACAAAAACAAAACCCCCAGAGCAAATTCTTGTACATTTCAATATCCTGCCTACTTATAAGAGCGGAAGACTCAAACAGAGCCAGGGAAAAAAAGTGACGTGCACAACCTTGATCCAAAACACAGCTCGTCTCAGTCTAATTTTAGGCCTGACCATTTTTATTGTCTTTTTACAGAGGTTGAAAAAGAAAACAGAAACTATACATCACTCGTAAAGTAGAACTGAGCTAAGTTCAGCAATGAGAACTGGCATTATTTACACGGGGAGAAACACATCACGCTCTCGTTCCCTAGAGAGCAGCCCCAGTAAGGCAGGACCCAGGGACCGCAGCAATCAAACCCCACGCCAGCTGACCCTGGCCGGTACTTTTCACACCTCGGTTCGTGGTCGACTTTAAAGCAGCACCAGGTTGAGTCGACCGAGGAATGTGTGGCAACGTCGCTGAGAGTGTGTTTTACATAAAGCAAGCCAAAAGCGGTGAAAAGGTGTTCATCACCTAAAGACGCAAATATTCACCTCCTGGCTGAAGATCAAACGAGAATCCCGACAAGATCTCAAAGTTCGGCTCTTAAGCGGCGGCCCGCAGACGCCTGGAAACCAGGTACGTCCTCACCAGTGCGGAACATGGACGAGGTCCCAGGGCGCAGCCCGGGAGGAATAAAGGGACTCGTCACAATATGCCCGAGCCATAAAGCTGGGGTGAACCGGGAGATGGAGCGAGGAGGGGCGAGGGCTCAGCGAGAAGGAAAAGCCCCGGAGTCAAACCCGAGGCTTTGGGGCTCACCGTGAAGTAACAGGAAAGGAAGAAACTGAAACGAAAGAGAAGGGAGTCGGGCGCGGAGCGGCAGCGCCCGGGCGCGAGCGTTCGGGGCAGGGCTGGGTCCAGGAAGAGTCCGCCGCGCCGGCCCCGGCTTCCCGGTTCGGGCCGAGCACCGAGAAGACGGCCCCGGGGCGCAGACAATGAGCCGCCGCCCAGGAGCCGCGGTCCAGGGACGCAGGTGGCGGCTGCCCCCGGCCGCTCGCGCCGGCGAGGCCGCGGCGGCGGAGGAGGAGGGAGCGCGGCCGGCGCCCGGAACACTTACCCCAGGCGAGGGAAGGTCCCCGCCCCAGCGAGGCGCCTCGGTCCGAGCTCCCGGCCGGCGGGCTCCGGCGCCGCCCCGGGCGAGCGCGCGGCGCGGGGCGGGGAGGGAGGGAAGGACGCGGAAGCGGGGCGGGAAGCGGGGCCGCCGGGAGCGCAGCGGCAGCTACCGCTAGGCCGAGCGGCAGCCGAGCCCCAGGGCGCCGGGAGGGGCGGGCTGGGAGCCTTCGGCAATGGCGACGGCCCGGGCCGGAGGGGAAGCGGAAAACCGCCGCTGCTGCGCGTGGCCACAACCCTGGGGGAGGGCGGAGGCGGGGAGCGGCGAGGGGTGGGGCCAACGCCGCCCCTCGCGGCCCCGAGTTCCACGGGGCGGGGACGGGACGGCCCCTCAATGGGCGCGCTCGCGCGGGGGCTGCTGGGAGCTGTAGTTTCCGGAGAGGCGTACGGCGGGCCAGCCCGCCAGTCCCTCGTTTAATTCTGCTGAGTCTCCAGGCAGGGCTATGCCAACATTAAGATGACGACAGAGGATTCTGTTACATGAATCTGCTCCAGGATGTTCGCTCCTGGAAATTCATCCATTATCCAGTTTGCTTTTCACCTAAAAGTCTAACTATATTGTGCAGCTAAATTAAGTCCCACCTCGCCAATTAGTGCCTCCACGTTCTATCTATAGAGGAGTTCATCAACGTATTAACTAATTCTACAAGTATTTGAGGCACTGTTAGGCATCAGTTAGGCGAGGGTGAACACGAATCATTTGCCTTTGTGACGCTTACAAATATGAAGACAAACATTAAAGACAGTGTTATCTGGTATGAAGGAAAAACTGGGGCGATTATTTTAGATTGGGTAGCCAGAGAATGCGTTTTTAAAGTAACGTTTATTTTTTTAATTATTAGAGGTAATACTGCCTGACAACACTGTATGATTCAGAGGAATAGGTTCACACCTCCCCAGAAGAGCATCACTACAGCCTACCCATCCCAGAATACCCATATCCCTTCTTTTTACACCACTGGGCCCCTACCCACAAAAGTGACATTTAAACTGAGAATAGAAAGAGCCAGGACAGGGGCTCCCTGGTAGTGCAAGGGGTTAAGATGCAACCTATGAAGCTTTCTGCAAGTTCAATCCCCAGCCAGGGAGCTACCCACATGGTGCAGCAGACCTCTCCTGTCTCGCCTGCTGCTCCCCTCAACACTGTTTTTCAGTCAATCTGCCTGTCCTGTTCTCTTCTCTGTCTTTGGTGAATTCTCTCATTCCCCATACCTCTGGCCTGTACCACAATTCTTGTATGCATAAATAAATTTTTTTTTTTTTTTTAAAGAAAGCCGGGAGAAGCACCCAGGGGAAAGCATTAGAGGCAGAAGGAGGAAGCAAAACGCTGCGAAGCTGGAGCTTACTGTAAGGGTAGCATAATATGAGAAAATACTAGCATAGACAAGATGTATGTCATGAAGGATCTTGAGTGTCATAGCGAGGAGTTTAGATTTAATTCCAAGAAATTATTAGAGCTTTAAGCAAGAAAATGATATTATCTGGTTTACACTTTCAGGTCACTAGTTTTCTATGTGAAGAATGGAGTAAAGACATGCAAGAATAGAAGGGAAATGAATTACGCAGGTAATAATCATGACTGATATTAGGGAGATATTAGTGGAAATAGGAAAAGGAAGTCAGATGGTGCTTAGCTAGTAGATGTAGAGCAAAAAACTCAATAAATATGGAGGGTACAAGGCAGAGGAATCAAGGAGCTATATGGCACACTATTAAATATCATGCAAAACAGTCCCATTAAAACACACAAAGAAATGTTAGCTATAATAGGTCATCTTTTCAAAGGCATAACTAAGCTTTCAAGATAGAAAGGGGAGTAACTCTGATTGTCTCCCAAACTCCACACTCAATCCGAAGAGGGACAGTAAACCAGAGGAGTAAGCAGGGCAGTGAACCCAGGGTTGGTTGAGGGCATTTGCTTATCTCAGAAGTCTCTATGGGTTTACTGCTGTATAGGAGACAAATGACCAAAGACTAGGTTTGGGGTCTGAATAAAGAGTTGAGACTGTGACCTGCATAAGACTAGAAATTCCAAGGGCTATATATCCTACAGAAGCAAACTGGGTGGAAAATAATCCTTTCTACCAGTCCAGGAAGACAAGCAGAGTTGCAATAGATCTTACCAGTTCCCAAACTATGTATCATGAAATCTAGCTAAATAAGTTTCTGGTAGAGTAGTTGTGACACACAGGCACACAGACATCACCCCTCTACCCCATTACCACCATTGTAACAGGTAATCTGTGTCTTAGTCACTTGCATCCTAAAGAATATGACACAATACTTTATGAAAAATAAACTGTACAACTGAAACCAAATACTGGCACATAATTACCAAGAACACAGTCCCCATTTTCCTGGGCTTAAAAACTATACACAGAATTACAAGACTGATTAAAAAGATAAAAAGCCTACTCATTTTCTAAGTATCCAAAGAAGATAACAGAGTTCAGAAATTACATCAAAAGTGGTATCATCTGCAACCACTGCAAGAATAGTATCAAAGAATTTTTATTCACATTCACATTTTTATTATGCTTCTAGATAGCTATAAAAAAGGAGTAAATGGTTGACTCACAGTCCAAAGCAATTTCAAATATTAACTTGAAAATTTGTTTAAATAGAGATGAAAGTTGGCTTTGCTGTGAAAAAGGATATAGATCAACACAAGTGCACACACACACACCCTACATACATTTGAGATTAAATAGCATCATGTTCCCCCCACCTGTTTAACTATATTCTGAAATGTTTTCTGTTGAAATTACTCAATGTTAACTTATGAATAACTGTATTTCAATGTCATCTTATTAATACCATAGTGAAAGAAATGCTTTTAAAACATGGAATTCTTCCTTATAAGAAAACACTGCACGGGGCCTCCCGGTGGCGCAGCGGTTGAGCGCTGGGTTGCGAAGCTGCCCGCAGCCTCTGCGGCGCCGGTTCGATCCCCGGCTGCTCCCTGGCCAACGGAGGAGGGTCCCACATGGCGCGCAGACCTCTCCTGCCGCCCGCTGCTCCCCTCAGCAGTGTGCTTCGGTCCTTCTGCCTGCTCTGCTCCCCACTCTGGCTCTGGTGAATTCTCTCACCCTCCCACGCTTCTGACTGTACCCAGTGCATGTGTGAACAGAACAAACAAACAAACAAACAAAAAATAAATAAAAAAAAAACATGCCTCTATAAAAAAAAAAAAAAGAAAACACTGCACTGCACATATATGAAACTAGATAGGGTTGAAATTTTAATCATTTTAAGGACCTCTAATAATTTTGCTTTATAGCATTGGGTTGCCTTTTTCAATATTCAAGTCTCAAAAATTCCTCCAAAAAGGAAATGTTATGACTAGTCAAGCCAAACATGTCATATTATAAAAGATATATTCCCATGGATATGATGTTTTAGGAAATTTAGCAGTCATAGCATATATAAATATCACATCACATTACTCTATAGAAAACAATGCCAACATACCCTGGACTTTTGGTTTCTGCTGTGGAATATGTTTGTTCTCAATGAACAGAGGGCATGTTAGCCCTTTTATTTTTTTAATTAGCTTGTGACACTTTATTTTCTATTTTTTTGAAGTATAACATTAAACCAGGACCTTTTGCTTAAAAACAATTATCTGGAGATACAAAAAGATTTTTCTGGCAAATGTACTACTGAACAAAATTTACCCTTTAAAGTGACAATGTGATTTGTTTTTTCTAGCAAACTCAGTACTAAATCAGAACTAAATCTTAGTACTTAGCTTCACCAAGCCCTTTTGTCAATTCAGATAGTCAAAAGAAATTATAAAACATAAAAGATAGGGGCCTCCCCAGTGGCGCAGTGAATTGAGCACCGCGCTATGAAGCTGTCCACAGCCTCTGCAGCACGGGTTTGATTCCCGGCCTGCCAGGGAGCATCCCACATGGCATGGCAGACCTCTCTTGCCTCGCCCGCTGCTCCCCTCAGCAGTGTCCTCAGTCCATCTGCCTGTTCTGCTCCTCGCTGTCTTGGGTGAATTCTCTCACCTTCCCATGCCTCTGGCCTGTACCCCAGTTCTTGTATAAATAAATAAATCTTAAAAAAAAAAAACGAAAACATAAAAGATAGAAATTCTTAAAGGAATAATCAATTTTGGTATTAATAATTTCCTAGCTTTCAGACTTTTTTTTTTGAAACTATGGATAAGGGCCTAGGGGTTACATCTCAGAGCTAGCACTCCTAAGGCCTGAGTTCAATCCCCAGTCAGCTAATCCACATATGGCAGAGCAGACCTCTCCTGTCTTGCCCACTGGCTCCCCTTAGCAGCGTACTTCAGAAAATTTGCCTGTTTTGCTCCCCACTGTCTCTGGTGACTCTTCTCACCCCCCACACCTCTGGCCTACACCCTATTACTTCTTCACACACAAAAAAGAAACTCTGGATAAGTGATGTAATATTCTCATGAATTTAATGTTTAAATAAACCTCTTATTAATTTAAATTATTTTATACTTATTTATAATGATTTCCTCAATTTTTAGCTTAAACAGGTATGTTTCTATCTACAAAATGAGAATAATTTGTCTCTACTACATAAAGAACTTATTTTTCTAACCCAAATGAAAAAAGTTGCTTTTACAAAGTAAATTATTAAGTTAACAGAATTACATTTCCTCTACTGGCTCTCTCTCTTTTTTTTTTCCCCTCTACTGGCCCTTGATGCTTGAGGATTTTCAAAAGTCTACCCAACAAAGAATTGAATTTTGGAATTAGTTGAGAATGATCCAAAATTTCCTCTGGTAAACATAATTTTAGACATAAATGAATGCAAATGACAAACATAATGCCACAGTTCTAGAAAAACACCTTTAGTCACAAATGACCAGATCTTACATAGGTTTATGGAATGCATTTAATAGCATAAAACTTATAGGGAAAAATGACCATATTTGAAAACAGCTACAAGGATCAAAGTGGAACACAGGATGGTAACAAGCAGAGTTACAGAACATACTAAAGAGGTATGTATAGTTAGTCCCACTGGAACATGTAGAGTCACATTCTTATATACCTATGAAGAAAGCAGAATAGAGACATTTAAAATGAATATCCCAAAGTTAGACCACCATTTCTTTCATTTTTAATTCTTTTCTCTTAAATATGTTTTAGCCAGTGCAATAACACATATAGTATTACTGATTGAATAATTCTTTTGGATTCAACATTTTATTAATAGACTCATATTCAATTCCCACAAATCTTAAATTCTAATGGTGCTGATTTTTTTCTACTTTTCAGAGTATGTTCTTAAAAAAAAAAAAGTGATTATATCCCAATGTCACCTCTGTAATCTATATAAATATTTACCTCTTCTTCTACATTACTAGAATGCAGTTGAAGCCCTAGAGGAAAAACATTAAAGCAACAACTAAACTAAAGGTATCATTCCTGTTTTGCTGTTTCTCTCCCCAAGTAGCTTTTAAAAGTTTGTTACTCTGGGCCTCCCTGATGGTGCAAGGGGTTAAGTCTCAGCCCTATCTGCACCCACTGCAGCACCAGTTCGATCCCTGGCCAGGGAGCTAACCCACATGGTGCAGCAGACCTCGCCTGTCTCCCCTACTGCTCCCCTCAGTAGCGTATTTCAGTCAATCCACCTGTTCTGCTCCCCACTCTGTCTCTGGTGAATCCTCTCGCACCCCACCACACCTCTGGCCTACACCCCAGTTCTTGTATGCATAAATATTAAAAAAATAAAAAAATATATCCACAATCTATGAAAAAATATGCTTTATACTTATCTGAGTGAAAAATATGTTGCCTACTGGTTTATTTATTTTTAAAAAGATTTATTTTTATTTATTTATACAAGCACTGGGTACAGTCAAAAGCGCGGGAGGGTGAGATAATTCACCAGAGCCAGAGCTGGGAGCACAGCAGGCAGAAGGACCGAAGTACACTGCTGAGGGGAGCAGTGAGCGGCAGGAGAGTTCTGCGCGCCATGTGGGACCCTCCTCCGGCGGTTCGCTGCAGAGGCTGCGGGCAGCTTCGCAACCCAGTGCTCAACCGCTGCGCCACTGGGGAGGCCCACCTACTGGTTTAAAATTTAAGTTTATTTTACAGTTAGTTACTTTTGTTATAAATTCATTTGACTCCTTTTATTTTTTTATTTTTAGATTTTCATTTATTTATTCAGAAGTGGGGAGCAGAACAGGCGGATTGACTGAAATACACCGCTGAGGGGAACAGGGGAAGGGGCAAGATAGGTGAGGTCTGCTGTGCCATGTGGGTCAGCTCCCTGACTGGGCATCGAACTGGTGCTGAAGTGGCTGTGGACAGCTTCATTGTGCTGAGACTTAACCCTTTGCACCGCAAGGAGGCCCCTCATTTGACTCCCTTTAAAAAGTAAATTGTGTGGGCCTCCCCTGGTGGCGCAGTGGTTGAGCGCTGGTCTGCAAGGCTGCCCGCAGCCTCTGTAGCGCCGGTTCGTTCCCCAGCTGCCGGCGAGGGTCCCACAAAAAAAAAAAAAAAAAGTAAATTGTGGGCCTCCCCTGGTGGCACAAGCAGTTGAGCGCCTCGCTGTGAAGCTGTCTGCAGCCTCTGCAGCGCTGGTTCAATCCAGGCCGGCTGGCGAGGGTCTGTCTCTGGTGAATCCTCTCACCCTCCCGTGCATTTAGCCTGTACCCCAGTTCTTGGGTAAATGAATAAATAAATCTTAAAAAGAAAAAAAAAGTAAATTGTAAAATAATGACACAGATTGTGCCATTTAACCAAGAAAGCAGATCTTAGAGAGAATTAGGAACAAAGAGAAAGACAGATAATACAAGCATCAGTTAAGAGGCAACTCATAAAAGAACAGAGGGTAGGAAAATAAGAGGAAAGATGTACTGTACAAAGACTTACCACTCTGAAGAAAAGAAAGTAGATTATGCTAACTGAAGAAGTTAAGAAGAAAACTGTAGCATCCTTAGACAAAGTCAGTATTACAGAAATATTGATACTCTACCTAATTTAATCACTAAAAACAAGTTGGAAGTAAAACAATAAAAATGGCCTGAAACAACCTGGATTTAGATTATATAATAACAATGTAACCACCTATAAATCACAGTTTAAATAGTAACTATGTTGAGTTTTGTTTTTCTTTTGTCATTTGTTCTGTGTAATGTATTGAAGTCAACTAATCCACTTTACCAAAAATTAAAAATTTTAAAATAAATTTTAATTCATATGCTACTGTTTTTCTTTGCCATTCCATACTTCATAAAGTACATCAACTATACTTAAGCTCTGGGACTAACCCCAAATCTCTAGCTCCAAAAATGATTCTCTGACACTATACAAATGAGGAACCAACCATTGTTGCCATCCACAGTGAAGAAACAACACCAAAACCAAACACAGCTTTCTATAGTAGAACATAAAATGCTACCCCTGATGTAGCAAAATACCAGATTTTTAAAATTGGCTGCATGATCTAAAAGCAAGATAAAATATTAACTTACTGATTTATATTTCATATTGTTCCACTGGCAGATATCCTTACTCTTCAAAGCACAAGGAGCTGCCACCTCTGACTGAGACCAGCATTTCAAAATTGGAAACTCTGAGGAAAAAAGGTAGAACACCAATCAGAAAACCTGTAGAGTAGAGCAGAGGCTAAATGGGGTCATTCCTGTTGGGATTTTAATATTCAAATATTTTCATATACAACGTATATGATTTGGACCTATCTGTCACATGATGTTTTACTTTAGCGGCCTGCTTAGTGAAGGCCTATAAAGTTATAATAAAGACTGCTGAAGTTGAGCATGAATTCAAAACAAATCCCATTACATTTTGAGACTACTCTTTTTAAAATTTAAATTTTTTTGAAGTATAACATATACTCAGAAAGTGGACAGATCCTAATTATACAACTCGTTACATCTCCACAGAACAAACACACCCATATCAAGAACACTTGAAACAAAAAACTGCATAATTTTCTGTTGGAAGAGACACTTTTTCAGAAATTATTTAGAGTAAGTAAAAGGCACCAGAAACAGAAAATTAGGTTAGATGAACAAAACTAATGTAGCTGAACACTTTATTTTCTCAACATGAAATGTATGATAGCAACAAGTATATGACTTAAACCTCCCTATATGCCAGTCTTTCATAACAGTGGTACTGACTTCTGTAAACATTCTCATCAGTCCAAATTTGGAAAAAAGTATAACCAAAACCAGAAAGGGGTTAAATTTAAAAAGGGCTTGTTACTAAGTAGTCTGAAAATGGTGAAATCATAGTTATTTTAATTTACTCAAATCAACACACAAGCACAGAAATAGCAATTACACTCAACACCAAAACCTCATGGACAACACTTAACAACAAGCTAGGTGATAAAGTGTCATCTGAAGGGGGAAAGTTGCAGAGCCTTTACATATATGTAATATATATTAAGTTGGCGTAAACACCAAAATATATGTAGTGTAAGTCCTACAATATCAGCATGAAGAAAGAGACAGAAGCAAAGGGATGAGGATCAATGGTAGCAAAAAAACCACCAGAAATTATATGACTACTCATAAAAGAGCACAGGACCATCTACACGCTTGTCAAAAAAAGAAAAAAGACCCTTGAATCTCATAACACCTCTGGGGCAGCTACCAATTTCCAGGAAATAAAAAGGTCAGATGAACTGCACCATGAGCACAGTCATCAAAACTCCAACTATGAGAAACAGGTCAAATGACCCAAATTCCTTAACAGATAAATTTTTTTTAAAAAAGATAAATAGATGAGATTCTTGTAAATTAAGAGACTTCATGGAAATAAAATTTTTTAATGGGCAATACCATTTTAAGCTGTAGTGTCTAAGAATGCCTACGTAGGTGATATAAGTATAAAGAAAACTTAAGGAAGTGATTAAAAGTCAGGACAGTGTGTTAGTCCTACAGGAAAGAAGGTGGTTATGATTGGGACAGGATACACTGATCAACTGAGGCTTAGGTAACTGACAAAGTTCTATTTCTCAATTTGGATGGTAGTATTTGCCTTATAACTCACTCACTATGTATTTGTGAAGTTTTTCTCAATTTGTACTTTATTTTGAAATCAAAAGTTAAAAAGAAAGAAAAAAGATCTCTTTTCTCATCCCTGTCCTTGCCTTCAGACTTGCCATAATATCATTATTTTTATTTTCAATCCTCAGAAAAGACTTGCAATACTCACCTTGGTCACAATACATCAATAAATCAGGTTTCTTGACTACAATAAAAGTTTCTCCATCTTTACTATGTGGGCGATGATAGCGGTAATGCAAAGGCAAAAAAGCTTGGAAACAATCAATACACTGTGAATCTTGTCTAGCATAAATGAGAACTTCAGATTCCTTGGATAAATAGTTGGGAGCTTCTATATTAAAGTCTTCTGACACCATTACTGCCTGTCAGAAAACAAATATTAATCCAGATTCAAAAACAAAAATAAAACCAGAAGATTGTTATACAGATGGATAGAAATGCAAAATTTACCTGTTATACATAATATCCATTCCCCTTCCATGTTCAATTTTAAGTTGAAAACACAAGATGTGAGCTGAATTTACTGAAAACATATTTACTAAAAGAAAATTGATGAAATTATACTCAAGATGCTAAATTTCCCCACAATAAAAATTATTTCTATGTGATTTCCTTATCTGTCTTTGATTAAGTGACAAAACAGGTACTGAGAGAAATTCTGTAGCATTATTCAGAAAGAATGAAAACAATGATAAAAACAGTTATTTCTGGATTGGGTTAAAATGGCCGGTTTTACTCTGGTAATTCCCTGCCCTTCAGGAGTAAGAAAGATCATAGTGAGTAAGACAGCACTATGGTCAGGAAGTCAGAGGGAAGGTGCACACTCTGTTGGGTACAAAAAGTTAACAGAAAAAAATGGCAAAAAATTTTAAAATGTTAAAAATTTTTTAAATATGCTAAAAATCATTTAAAAAGCAGTATTCTACACCAAAAGTAAAAATGTACAAATTAGTTCCAAATTACATGTGTATGTATATTGTACACATTGATATATGACATACACATTAATGTATAAATACATAGATGCACACAAAGTATCTATATATACATATATAAACACATACATACACACATATAAATATTTGTGTATGAACATGCTTTCTATAAGCAATGCAGATTCTCTGTGCAAATCCCTGACATATCTCAGAGAAAAAAACAGCATTAACTTCTTCCCATTTCAGCAAGTATCCTAATTCTATGTGAAGGTGACACCAATTGTTACATTCTTTCAGGTGTTGTTCCTTTTCTCATTCATGTACTAACAGATCTCCCTAGCAAAGGTCAATGAATTATATAACCTATGAGTCACAAGGAACCCCTAAGGTGATCACATTAAATCACTACCCTAATGGGAATATTTTTCAAGTAGCTAGCCGTTACCTGAATACTTTCAATGACTAGCAGAAAGCTCATTACTTTGAGTCATCTCACTTTATCTACTGCTAAAAGGTGGCTGATCTGCAAAAATCATAATTCATTATTTCATCTTCACCACAGAATAATAGCATGTTATTAAGAAATTTAAATTATGCATCAAAAATTAATCTTAAACTTGGACTGTAACAGACAAGGGCCCCCCCCTTTTTTTTAAGGGTCCACATTTTTTCATAACACTCAACTACATGTTACAAATAACCATAGCAAAGTAAAATTAATTAAGCTATTATAAAATTGTACTGCATGTATAACATTTACCAAGTCTTTTTTTCATGAACTAGTGCTCCTTTAAAAAAAAAAATTCAGCAGGGCCTCCCCGGTGGCGCAGCGGTTGCAAAGCTGCCCGCAGCCTCTGCAGCACCGGTTCAATCCCCGGCTGCCAGCAAGGGTCCCACATGGTGCGCAGACCTCTCCTGCCATGCCTGTTCTGTTCCCTGCACTGGCTCTGGTGAATTCTCTCGCCCTCCCACGCTTCTGACTGTACCCGGTGCTTGTATAAATAAATAAATAAAATCTTAAAAAAAAAAAAAAAATCCACCAATTAAGACAGTAAAGATACCTTTGAACAACAATCTAAAAATGTAAAACCTTGTGAAAATGAAGTGTGTAATACTTTTCTAATATTGGGATATTAATTCTAATCTCTTTTTATGATTTGTCTGGCTAAATGTTTACCAAAACACTTGTCTCCCCACTGCTCCCCTCAGCAGTGTTTTCAGTCCTTCTGCCTGTTCTGCTCCCGGCCCTGTCTCTGAGGAATCCTCTCACCCCTACACGTTTGGCCTGTACCCCAGTTCTTGTATAAATAAAATAAATCTTTAAAAAGTAATTAAAATAATTCAAATAGGTGAAAGAATTGGCCTAAACCAGTTACAAATAAACTACCATCATAATTAATTACAGGTTATTTATTTTGCCTTTTTTCATCCATATATAAATTATAATCTTGTGAACTAAGATAACACGTGCCCAAATTTCTTAATAGGACTCATCTGAATCATTAAAAACAGGCTTTTGGGTCCAATATAGGGGTTAAGACGCAACCTAGGAAGCAATCCGTGCCCAATATAAACGTACTAAATTAAGAGTTCCCAGGAGACAATGATCAAAGTTAGGGAAACTATAACCAAAGTCAGATAAACCCTTAACCCTTTCCATGTCTGGAAAGAGCACCAACTTTGCAATTAGCCAACCCTTCATTTCTTGACTCCAGTTTATGCAATCCTGAAAAATTTACTCAGCTTCTTTGTACCTGTTTCCTTACAGACAAAATGTAGATAATATCACCAGAGTTGTTAAAAGGATTGATCGACATAAAGAGTATGGGCCAGTTCTTCAAAATTTAATTTTATCTTGCTTCCTTTAAAATAAAAAAGAAGCTCTCTGGCATATAGATATCCAATAAATATTAGTTTCCTTCACTCCCATATCCAAATTACACGGATATTGGGATAGCTGTCCCTCAAATTTAACAAAGTTGCTGCTGACGCATTAATTATTAATCATTAACCTTCTCAAGACATATATAATTTTCTTAGTTGCTAAACTATGACACATTCTTCCTAAAAGCATTTAACGTGTTCAATTCAGTTATTACTGAAAAGTATGACAAGTATCACTCACTTCTTAAAGAATACTCCCTAAAAGAATTTCTTTAAAAAAATCCTCTAGGGCCTCCCCGGTGGCGCAGTGGTTGAGCGCTGGGTTGCGAAGCTGCCTGCAGCCTCTGCAGCGACGGTTCGATCCCGGGCTGCTCCCCGGCCACGGGAGGAGGGTCCCACATGGCGCGCAGACCTCTCCTGCCGCCCGCTGCTCCCCTCAGCAGTGTACTTCGGTCCTTCTGCCTGTTCTGCATCCTGCTCTGACTCTGGTGAATTCTCTCACCCTCCCGCGCTTCTGACTGTACCCAGTGCTTGCACGTATAAATAAATAAATAAATAAATCTTTAAAAAAAAAAAAAAAAAAAATCCTCTAATAGGGTACCTCTGTTATGTTTCTCTCTTGCAAGGAAGCCAACTCATATGGATCCACAAAAAGTCCTGTTGGGATGAGCTGTTTAATTAAGAGTCGGCAAGTCTGTAAGTCCTCAATACTTTCTCCAAATTTCACTTTTATTACAAGATCTCTGTAAGACAAGTATATTTAAAGTAAATCTCTTTGCTTATCAGATGAGATAGCACAACATTATATTCAAATTATGGAAAAACTATTTCAACTTAGTTTTTCAAAAGGTTATAATGTCCAGTTAAATATAAGAAGTCAGGATCAACCATTAGATCTTTCATAAATTCACATGCCATAAGCAATAGTATTAGTGTGAAAATAATGAAAGATCAATGGAAAGGAACAGAATCCAAAAACAGATACATATTTTTAGTAAAGGTGCCAATAGTATATGATGGGAAAAAGAAGTCTTTTCAGTAAATGCTACTGAAACTACTAGATAGCTATATAGAAAAAAGTGAACTCTGGCTTCACCTTATACCAGACACAAAATTAATTTGAAATTAATTATAATTTCTTTATAATTGCCTGAGCTTTCTAGCTGAAGGGACTTTTTAAAAAAAAATTTTATTTATTTATGCATACAAGAACTGGAGTGCAGGTAAGAGATGCGGTGGGTGAGCGGATTCACCAGAGACAGAGTGGGGATCAGAACAGGCAGACTGACTGAAATACCCTGCTGAGGGTAGCAGCGGGCGAGGCAGGAGAGGTCTGCTGCACCATGTGGGTCACCTCCCTGGCCAGAATATAACTTGTACTGCAGTGGATACTGGTAGCTTCATAGTGCTGTCTTAACCTCTTATGCCATCCTAACCTGTACCAAATTATTCAAATTTCTGAACCCTAGTTCCTGCCCTGAAAAACAACAAAAGTATCATCTATCTCACAACCTTTGTAAATTTAATATTGTATACACAGATTCTGGTAATATGTAAATATGTAAGCATGGTAAATAACTGTTTTTTCTTCTCTTCACCAGTTATCTTAACCACTATTTCACACTGTGAGAAATACGTCACTGATAAAGCAAGTGATTTTTCAGTTCACACATTTTTCAGTTATTGATTTTTTGTTCTAAATTATATGAAACAGTATTTTGATGGAAGTATGGGAAACTTACCTGTGGAAACCATCTTTCAAAACATCTTGCCTCAACGTAATTTCAGAACAAGTGACCTTATGCCTACAAGAATCAAGATATTTTTTCTTTTATAAAATAAGCACTCAATGAAAGAATAAATAATTAAAAAATAATTGTACGAATAGGCTTTACTTGCCCTGAAGAAATCTAACAAACCTAAAAACAAAACTCTAGAAACTTAAGCAATTTGAACTACACATAAATATACTTCAAACATAGCATAGTGGTTAAGAACACTGATTTTGGAATTAGATGGCCTAGTGTGACTTAATATATTCAATAGCTGTGTGGCTGTGGACAAGACAGGTTACTTCTTTACTAGCTGCCATGCAAACTTAATAGACGAAGTTCTTAAAACAGGGACTACCACATAGTAAGTTCTCTATTGTTTCTATTACTAACATTACTAACACTTTATTCATGTGATCCCAGGACACCAAAAAGAACAGAATGGCTTAAGATCCAGGAGATCTCAGTTCTAATCCCATTTCATTAAAATTATGTATTAGAAATACTGGCATTTATATTGATATATTCTGCAAAAGAGATGGCTTTTGAAGATGTTGGGTGGGATTCAAAAAACTGGAGGATTTTTTAAGGTTCAAACGGTTTCCTTTAGAAGTCAGAATAATCAGAAATCTCATATTGACTCCACGCAGAATTCAGAAATTAAAACTATTGTTCAATGGCAGCATCACAAAATTAAAATTTCAGTTACTAATAATCACCAACTATGTCAGGCACCTTGCTACAGAACTTTATCCCATTATAAAGGCTAGAAGTATACAGAAAGAACACTAAAATAAAGAGAGCACAAGTGATTTACAAACATTATCGTAAATACTAGATTGTCATGATTTTAGGGCAAAAGTACCATTTTCAAAATGAATTCGCTGCTCCTAAAGTCACCTTCAAGATTTTTTCTCTTAAATGTAACTTTATAAGGTGATTGTGGCATAAACTGGTTCTGAAAAACGAACCCTTCCACAGCTGGAAGACTCTTCAGAGATCACCAAATCCAATTGTTAAAAATTATTTTTGGCTCCATTATCCTTTCTTTCAATACTTTTGGAAATTTAACACTTAAACACGAAATAAGTGCACAGATACTAGCCTAATATTCTCATTTGGCAGACAGAGAACTCACTTGATCTGTACTGACTTTCCTTCCCCTACCAAAAGCTATTATACAAGTGGATCACAGCACCCAGAGAGCACTCTAGCCCCGACTTGGGTTTAAAGAAATAAATCTATTCGCTTGCCCGTCAGTCCTAAAATCCCAGCCCAAAAAATGTTCAAAAATGTTCTGAAAACAAATTCAGCCCTTTCCTTTCCACAGCCACCCCTCCACCCGCGCCCCCCCCCCTCCCCCAGTCTCTATTCTGAACTCGGATTCTCAAACCTCACAGAGCACTGAGGCTTTGCTGGTCCCTTGGTGGTCAGAGACTTCGTGCGCATCCCAAAGCATCCCAAGGTATTTCACGACTGTGCTATTTTAGCAACAGTGCCGCCAGTCCCGCCTTGAAACGCCAAAACTTGTCTCTCCAGGCACCCAGGTGCAGCCGCATAGCAATGAGCTTGGGGAGGCGGTGCGGAGCGGGGAGAGAAGAGAGATGGAAGGAGCACGCGGCCTTTGTTGTCGGCCTCCTCCGGTTCACCCTACAGTTCTAGGGTCGCTCGCCGAGGCCCAGAACTGCTCCCCACCCTCGTGGTCCTCAAACCGCGCGCGTACTCCCGCAGCCCCATCGCTTCCTTTACCAGCGTCGGGGCGGGCGGAGGTAAAGGCCGAGGCGGGGGTGCAGGCCAGCCCACCCGTCGCCCAGAGAAGCAGCCAGGCCCCAGCCTGGGCGGTCACGGCGCGAGCTGCCAGGACGCCGGGGAGCGGGCGCCCGAGAGGACGCGCGGGGACGACACGCGGACGCGAAGCCTGCGCACGCCTCTCCCGGCTCCGGGGGACCGCAGCAGGGCGGAAGTCGCGGTGCGCGCACGCCGGGCGTCCGCAGCTTCCCCGCTCGCCAGGCCCCCGCCGCGCAGGTTCCGCGGCCCGGCCCGCCCCCTCGGTCACGCCCTCGGTCACGCCCCTCGCTGCCCCGCCCCCTGCACTCGGGGCGGGGCGGGGCGCAGAGCCGCGCAAGCGCCGTGACTTGCGCCAGGGCTGTTGCTGTGGGAACGTCTCCTTAGGCTCCGCCCACCCCCCGCCAGCTAGGATCTGACCCGCGCGCTGTCCAGGGAGCCTAGCAGGCTGTTTGCTCTGGGCCTCCGCCTCCACGCTTGCAGGTATTTGCGGATTCCGACCTCCTGCCGGGAGGTCACCCAGCAGTGACGTCTGCCGGGCGTAGCCGTCGCCTTTTCCTGCATCGCCAGGCTCCGCCCGGCCTCTGAGTCGAATGTCGTGCTCCTGCGTGCATCGCAGTTGGATGGAAACAACCCCCTCACAGCAGTTTTAGACGTTGGCCTGCAGAAGATGCACTTTCAGTGCTTTTCTAAGGGTAAGAAAGTCAGCCTTGCACAAGTGGGTGTGAGTAAGGGAAGGATTGTCTGCTGTAGACAAAATACGAACACTGTTTGGTATTGTGGAGGATGAGTGACAAGATGATGACATTCACTGATATCTAGGGAGAAAAGTATCAGTGTCTAATAAAAAAGAGTTAAATGTGCTGTCTAGCTTCATGACTTGAATTTGTAAGTAAGCCTAGAGAGCGTTCAGTGCTGGCTACAGCAGAACAGAGGGACCCAGGACAGATACCTCAAAGAGGAAAGATGTCAGAAGATGCTCTCTAAAACTGAAAATACTAGTATATACTCGCTATTAGGAAATTTGGAAAGAAATGAGGGGTTTTAGAAGAAACACTTAAAATAATTGAAACTGGTTACCTGTAGAGAAGATAACAGGTTTTTGTTATAAGCCTCATAGTTATTTTATATTTTGTATTTTGGGGGGGTTTCTTATTGCAGATTGTATTGTCTATTATCTTCCTTTCCCCACATAACCCACTGCCCATCACATAGCTAGTAATAACAACTTAGCATATGCCTAATCCTTTCCCCCATGCTTACATAGCATATAAAACACACACACCTTAATAAGCTATAAAAATTTTTTTTTAAAAAGAGTCTGTAGTAGAAAAAGAAAGCTACATTACTGAGTGTCAATTGCATTCATCATACTATATACCTAGAATGAAGACTGGAAGGAATCAAGGATGATTGCTTTATATATCCTTCACCCCCCTCCTTAGTTATACCCCTCAGTTTTCTTTCTTCAATGAACATGTATTAAATAACTATGTCACTATAGTGAGACTCTAAGAGAACTGAGTTTATAAAATTATCCCCCTATGTTACTTTACCTCCAGGTTCGTAGTCACATCTAAAGCAGTCCCTGTCATTGTGTTTGGGCATTGTGGTCAAACCAAGGAAGAGGGAATGGAAAATATTAACCTGCAAAATAGTGTGCTTCTTATAACTGAAAAAATATATATGTCATACAGTAAGACAAATAAGTTGAAATCAAGGCCATGTAAGCATTATTGTCATTTATATGTAGAGGCTGATTCTGCAGCCAGTCTGCTTTTTTTTTAAATCAGGTTTCTAGATTATATGCACCTAGAGGATGTACAGAGGTTATAGCTTAATAGTGGGTTGTTGGAAAAGTCATGACGTATTTTTTCTGTTTTTCAAACAAAAATGCATCATGACTTTTCTGACAACACAGTATTAATACTTTGAATTATACCAGTGTGTGTGTATGGAATGCCTGGTATGTTTCAGGTATTGCGTTGGGATATTGTGGTAAATAATGGATGTGTTCCCTGCCCTCATGGAACATACAGAAGGAAGGTAAAGATTAAATAAATAATTATTAAAAAACTCAAGTGAAATGATTGGAAAAGTATAAAGGAGACTGGTCAGGTCTGTCAAGACATAATGTTTAAGGTTAAAAGACTCTTGGACCTTGACACAGAGAGTACTTATACATAAACTTGTTGAATAAATTAAAACCACTCTAGAACATCTCGGACCAACTCAGGGTTTCATATACAATCTTTGAATACAGTACACTAAGAGATCCAAACTTCACAGCATTTGCAGGCTCATGTTTGAACAAATCCTTCAAGTAACCAGGGATCCAACAGGTTAAGAATAACCAGGGCCAAATTGAACTTTCATGGTTACTCTTGAAACGTTGAACTTGACAGGCTAAGCCTGCATCTCTAGAACTGGACTGGAGCCAGATCTGCTGGGAAAGAAGAATAGTGAGGAGTATGATTTATTCAACACTTAATTCTTTTCCCCCTTTAGCAGGAAGTCATTATATGACTAACACATTTTCATCAGATTTCCTCTGATTTACCCTGAAGTGTATGTGAGAATGATGTGCACTGCTAAAAATGTGGAATTAGATTCCAGCCTCCAGCTATTATCTTAATCTATGAGCATGAAACCAAGGGGAAAAGTCGCCAGCGCATCATGCCAGTCCGCAATTTTTCAAAGTATTCAGGTACTTTATGTTTTATCTTGCCTCATATCTTAGATATTCTGTAAACTACTTAATAAAAAAATTTGAGTCTCATTTATTGGAGTGGCATGGTCTTCAGAGTTAAGCAGACCTCAGTTCAAATCATAGCTCTATAGGCCATATGACTCTGGCTGAATTACTTACTCTCAGTGAGCTTCAATTGGCTAAATTAGAGGAAATTACTAATCCCATCCTTTCAGAATGATAGGTGGGTTAAATGAAATAGTATTATTTAACAATATTAATCCCTTCTCTCCCTCCAAGTGTGTTTTTTACTTGTAGTCTTGATAATTTTGTAGTACTAGTAATAATATCAAAGAGGTATAAATACCTCTGTTTGTTTTCAGACAGTTTCTCCAGTTGAAAGTGTTAATGACTCCTCAAAATGATTTTTTAGGCCACACTCAGAGCTTGATATAAAGGAATAGCTCTGTAAAATAAACCATTCCAAAAATGCCATTTATCTACTTGGCTATAAAAGCAGATAATACTTTGAGTAGCTTGTGGTGTATCAGTAGTTTGTTGTATGTGATGTATAGTTTTGTTTCTCTTTTCTAGATTGCAACAGAGCTGCAGAACAATTAAAGAATAACCCCAGGCACAAGAGTTACCTGGAACAAGTATCTCTACGGCAGCTAGAGAAATTATTTGGTTTTTTACGTGGTTACTTGTGGGGGCAGAGTTTGGCAGAAACAATGGAACAGATTAAACGGGAAACAACCATTGATCCTGAGGAAGACCTGAACAAACTAGATGACAAGGAACTTGCCAAACGGAAGAGCATCATGGATGAACTTTTTGAGAAAAATCAGAAGAAGAAAGATGACCCAAATTTTGTTTATGACATAGAAGTTGAGTTTCCACAGGATGAACAGCTGCAGTCCTGTGGCTGGGACACAGAGTCAGCTGATGAATTCTAATATTAAACCTAAAAGAATTTATTAGGCTACAGAAAATCCGTGTTTATATAAAGAATGTAGATTGTTTCTAGCAAAATCTATGAAGAACACTAATATGTAGGTATTGGGTCATAGTTGGATTGACTGGTACTTTTCTGAATGACACATTTAGAGCATCTACTATGTAGGTGCATGAGGAATAGAGGAAATATAGAATATAGTGATCTGCCTTTAAAGAGTTATAATCTAACTGAAAGATAAGTAAAAAACTTGTGAAAAGTTAATTAACAGTATTAGGCCATCAAAACATGAGGACCAAGTGACTGATGAAGACTAAATAGAGTCAGTCTCTAGATTGCTGTAGGGTAGAAAAGTCAGGGAAAGCGATCCTTTAGTAAAGAGGTGGGACTTTGCCTGTATTGGATAGAAACCCAGTATAGGAAAAGGAAGGGCAAAGGGAGGTATGGGGAGAATTAATGAAGAGATAGGAAGTAGAAGTTTTATTTAAGGAACAGTAAGCAAATTGTAGTTTGACAAGATTGTAACCAGGGATTATCCTATTTGCATTATGTCTTTATATGTATTTAACTCTGTTTAATATGTATTTAATACTCAGAATACTCTTACAGAATGTTCTGGAGCTGCAAATGAGTGCCATTCGATGGACAGCAAGGGAATTTGTCTTTCTGGTATCAGGAAATATATACTAAAGATATTCTGAAATCCTGACCCTCTTCCTATATATAAGAAGTTGATTTGTAAAATCGGAAATCTATCCATAATATATGAACAATAGTTACTGCCAGTTTAGGCCTATTCATGAGTTTAGATCTACAAAGAGAAGGTCATTGTTGAAAAAAGTTGTGTGTGTACAAATGCCTCTTTTGTCTTGTTAGAATATTATTTACTTGGTAGAAATCCTGTGTTTTCTAAAAGGAAATAAATACTGATTAAATGAAACTGCAAAAATAATTACTTTCTGCCTATCTTTACTCTTTATAATTAAAAGTTCTATTAAAGGGGTTATTATTATAGTGATATTACCAGGGATTTAAGATGCTCATGTCTCACATGTATATTTGCCAAGGTAGCAAAGGAATTTTTAGAATTTGAGATCCCTTCATCTCTACATAAGTGTTCTATTATGTAGATATAGATGATGTATTTTAAAAGTTGACCTTAGATGGTTTCCCCTTTCACTATTACAAACTGCTATTGCAAATAAACTTGTACATCCTCTATTTTGCATGAGTGCATGACTATGAATAATACCTAGAGGGGAATTGCTGGGTATGTATATTCTAAATTTTTTTTTAATTAATTTTTTTATTTTTGCATAGAAGAGCTGGGGTGTAGGCCAGATGTGCAGGGGGTGAGAGGATTCACCAGAGACAGAGTAGGGAGCAGAACAGGCAGATTGACTGAAATACACTGCTGAGGGGAGCAGCAGGCAAGACAGGAGGGGCCTGCTGTGCCATGTGGGTTACTTAGCTTCCTGGCCTGTGGGTCAAACTCATGATGAAGTGGCTGCCCATAGTTTCATAGTACTGAAACTTAACCCCTAGTGCCATCAGGTTTAGGCCCCTGCCTCTGAAGTTCTTTAGCCCAAATTTTTGCTCTTGGAAAGGACTCCTCATTTGTGATATCACCTATTTTAACTGAGGGGAGCAGTGGGTGAGACAGGAAAGGTCTACTGCACCATGTGTGGGTCAGCTTCCCGCCAGAGATCTAACTCAGGCAGTCATAGAGATAGCACTGAGACTTAACTCCTAGGCCACCAGGGAGGCCTGCGCTCTAAATTTTAATAGATATTGCTAAGTTGTCCTACAAAGAGGCTTGTTCATTCATTCAATATATATACTTTATGAGTACATACTACATGCGAAGCTTGTAGACTGGGGAGGCAGCACTACACACAATATAGTCCTTGTTTTACAAGGCTTATGGTTTAGTTGGAGGGAGAGACAATAAACAAATACATAGAATAATGTCATACAAGTGCTTGGCTTTAAAAAGAGGCAATGGGGCCTCCCCGGTGGCGCAGCGGTTGAGCGCTGGGTTGAGATGCTGCCCGCGGCCTCTGCAGCGCCGGTTCGATCCCCGGCTGCTCCCCGGCCACCAGAGGAGGGTCCCACATGGCGCGCAGACCTCCCCTGCCGCCCGCTGCTCCCCTCAGCAGTGTACTTCGGTCCTTCTGCCTGCTCTGCTCCCTGCTCTGGCTCTGGTGAATTCTCTCACCCTCCCGCGCTTCTGACTGTACCCAGTGCATGTATAAACAAAAACAAACAAACAAAACAAAAAAATAAAAATAAAAATAAAAAGAGGCAATGAACAGAAGATGGAGGGGATGGGAGACAGTATTATCTGTAGAGTGATCATAAAAGACCTCACTGAAGAGGCGACTTTTAAGCCAAAGCTGAAGAAGGTAAGGAAAAAGTTGATATGTATTTCCGCGGTAGTAGGTAAAGGTAAGTACATAGATCCCTGGTGTTGGAGTGTGCTTAATATATTTGAGGAAGAGCACAAGGAGGTCAATGTGGTTATTTCAGACTGAACAAGAGAAAAACTGGTAGGAGCTAAGGTTGCAATGTGTTTTACCAGTGCATAGTACTTACTATGAAGATTATGCCAACTTAAACCTTTATCAGCAAAGACATAAGCACACCCCTTTTCCCCACATACTATCATTAAAGTGTAATCAAACTTTTTATTCTTTGCCAATACTACAATTTAAATTTTTTTTCTTTTGACTTTTATTTTATTTTATTTTTTTTAATTTAATTTAATTTTATTTTTGTGGCCTTAGGGAAACTATTGAAGGTACAGCTCGGCTGAAGAGTGGCCCTGAGGTAGGGGGCGGTGACAGGGACGGGACTGGAGACGCGCTCCCCTGAGACTGGGAGCTGGGCGGGGTGGGCTCCGAAGCCCGGATGTGCGGGTACCTGTGAGCGGGAGAACCCGGGGTCTCAATTTTATAATTTTTAAATGGTTCTTATAGTTTCAGTTTACATTCCTTTTATTATGAGTGGGACAAAGTATCTTCATAGAATTAAGGGCCATTTTTTATAAAATAACTTAAGTGCTTTGTTTATTTTTCTATTCGGTTACTATTTTTTTTCTTATTTTTTTTTTTTTAAAGTTCATTGCTAAGTCCTTATCTATGACAGTAGTTGCAGATATTTCCACCTTATTATTTGTTGTTTGTGGTTTTGTTTATAAAGCTTTTTCCAGGCAGATTTTTCTCAAGTTAGGTCAGTATTTTTCTCTATGCTTCAATATTTTGTGTCATATATAGCAAGACTTAATTCACTCCAAGATTTTTTTTTTAATCCTCTGATGTTATTCTATGTAGGAATTAATTTTGGTGTAAGATGTGAGACATGAATCCAACACATCTTTTTTCTAGATGCCCATCCAATTTTCCCAGAACAATTATCTATTGAATTATCTATATTTTCCTCATTTATTTGAGATGCATCCTTTGTCATACACTAGGTTCCTATATGGTTGAAAATAGTTATCTTTTGATTATGTTGATGCTTCTGCAGCAGACTTCCCAATTAATGTTTCTCTGATGCTTGTTGAGAACATTTCATCTGTTCACTAAGTTAAAAGCTATAGGAAGACAACATGCCATATTTTTTGCCTTCAGATATTAGCATAATTTAGCCAAATCAACAAAACTAGTATATATGAGATGGAATTACTGATTATAGAGCAAAAGGGAGAAATCTTGTCATCTGAGCAGTTGGGAGGTTTTTTTCCTCCATGTATCTTGTCCAGAGCTAATTCCTCTCTTGAGTTCTTTGACATTTTTCTCTATCAGAGTGTGGAAGTTGAAATAGGAAATTCTCCTCTCGCTTTATACTCTCAGTTCCTACTCTGCAAAGAGACTCGCTTCCACAGGGTACTCTGGGCTCTTCCTCACTGATCTTCCTTCATCAATTTTCTGTTCTCTCTGCCTTTCTCATTTCAGCTTCATTCTCTCCTGGCTCATTCTCTCTTTTTAGCTCATTTAGTTAGATACATCTAATCCCCACCCCTCAACCCCCCTTTAGAACATATTTGGCTCTAGTTGAGTTCTAGAGATGCATACCCAGTCTATGAAATTGAGTAAGAATAAAGCTTGAAGGGAGTGACTAGGATAGAAATTCCAGGATATGGAAAAAGAAACAGAAGATAATACACCTAAATCAAAAAGCTAAAACTATGTAACTTTTGAAAGAAAATAAAGAAGAAAATCTTTATGGTCTTGGTCAGCTCAGGTTGCTATAACAAAATAACTGACTGGCTTATAAGCAATAGTTGTTTTTTTTTTTTTTTCCTGACAGTTCTGGACACTGGAAGTGTGAGTCAGGTTGCAGCGTGTTGTGAAAAACATCTTCCAGGTTGCAGACCACTGACTTTTTGTAATATTCTCACATGGTGAGGAAGAGAACAGAGAAAGCAAGTTCTCTTGCAACTCTTTTAAGGGTACGAATCCCATTCATGGGGGCTCTACCTTATGATTTCATCTAATCCTAATTAGCTCACAGAGGCCCACCTCCTGATTCATTAGAAGTAAGGTTTTGACATATGAATTTTGAGAGGACATAAACAAACAATCATCCCACAACACTTGGATTAGGCAAAGAGGTCTTAAATGGACACCAAAAGCATGATCTATAAAAGAAAATATTTGATTTTAAAATTTTATAGTCTAATGATAATATGGAAAACATAAAAAAACAATTCCTGACTCAAAGAAATGGTCTTCAGATGGCATATCTGAAAAAATAAACTCTTTTTCAGTACATATACGAATGCTTACAACTCAGTTTAAAAAAGAGAAAGAAAGAACCCATTCTTGAAAAAAGCAAAAGATTTTCATAGACATTTCACCAAGGAAGCTCTGCAAATGATTAAAAAGCACATGAAAAGTTGTTCAACATCATTAGCTATTAAAGAAATGCAAATTAAAACTATAATGAGATACTACTTTCTACCTACTCAGATGGCTGTAAAAAAAAAAAAAAACAGATAATAAGTGTTAGTGAGAATATGGAGAAACTGGAACCCTCCTACAATGCCAGTGGAAATGTAAAACAGTATAGTCACTTGAAACAAGTTGGCAGTTTCTTAAAAAGTTACATATAAACTGACTATACCCCCCAGCAATTCCACCCCTAGGACTCTATGTAAAGAAATTAAAACATACATCCACCCACAGATTTGTATTTGAATATTCATCACATTATTATTTGTACTAGCCTAAAAATGGTAACACTCAATTATCCATCAGCTGGTAAGTGAAGAAATAAAATGTATAGTGTTAGTACAATAGCGTACTATTCAGCAAAAAGACATGCTAAATGAAAGAAGCTGATAGAAAATATTACATATCATATAACCCATTTATACGAAATAGTCAGAAAGGGCAACTCTGTGGAGACAGAAATCAGATTAGTGGTTGTCTGGCACTGTGACTGAGGAATAGAAATTGATTTCCAATAAACA